GGCTGATTAGTGCCGGTCGCCCCTGACCCTCTGTGCTGGAATCTCTCCGCTTTGCCCTCCGCACCCCTGTTGCTGTGCTCTCCTCCGCGGCTCCTAAGCGCCCCTCCTCCGCCACCCGCAGTCTCCGCCCGCGAAGGGGCTTCCTAGTGTGTGGACACTTTTCCTCCTTCACAGCTCCCTCCCACTGGTGCAGGTCCCGTCCCTATCCTTTTGTCTCTGTTTATTCTTTTTTTTCTTTTGCCCTACCCAGCCAGGTGGGGAGTTTCTTGCCTTTTGGGAGGTCTGAGGTCTTCTGCCAGCGTTCAGTAGGTGTTCTGTAGGAGTTGTTCCACATGTAGATGTATTTCTGGTGTATCTGTGGGGAGGAAGGTGATCTCCGTGTCTTACTCTTCTGCCATCTTCCCACTCAACTGTTTTTTCTTTTCTGAACTATAACTTGTGTTATTTTACCCCAAATACTTCTGCATGCATCTCTAAAAATTAAGGATATTTTTTCTTACGTATAGTATTGATTGATTGATTGATTGATTGATGGATTGCGGTACGCGGGCCTCTCACTGCCGTGGCCTCTCCCGTTGCGGAGCACAGGCTCCGGACGCGCAGGCTCAGCGGCCATGGCTCATGGGCCCAGCCGCTCCGCGGCATGTGGGATCTTCCCAGACCGGGGCACGAACCCGCGTCCCCTGCATCGGCAGGCGGACTCTCAATCACTGCGCCACCAGGGAAGCCCCAAGTATAGTATTATAATGAAATTCACAATTCCTTGTTGTCATCCAATACCCAAATCGTATTCATATTTCCCCAGTTAGCCCTTAGCTCAAATGTCTTTTCCTGCTAATTGGTTCAAGTCAGGATCCAATCAAGGTCCACACCCTGTGTTTGGTTGTTACCCTCTTAAGTCGATAGAATGTCCCACCTTCTGGTTTTGTCTGTTAGCTTCCAAATGGTGTCATTTAACTTATTCCTCTAATTCTTATATTTCCTATAAACTGGAAATTAGATTTAAACTTTTGGGTTAAGCATGTTTGATAAGTTGCCTTTAAGTGATGCAACATGAGGTTACTTCATCTTCACGTCGGTAGGCACATAATATCTTGTTATTCCACTGTTAGTGCGTAGGTGATGACAGCCTGATCCCTTGATTTTAAAGTTAAGTTTTCCTCTTGAGATTAGCAAGGAATCCACGAGGGTGATACTTGGGCATTATGCAAATATCCTGTTCTCCATCAACTTTTCACTTAGTGGTTTTAGCATCCATTGATCCTTGCTTGAGTGAATTATTTCGTTAGAAGATGCAAAAAATGATTTTCTATCATTCATCTATATCAATTAGCTATATTTTTCTGTAAAGAAGAGCTTTCCCTCACCACCTTGAGCCATCTTGTTACCTGGAAGTAGATTTCTACGGCTAAGCAGAATAATGCTTAATTTCTTCTCTTTAAATATCATTTCAGAATAAAGACTTGGTGTGATAGGTAACTCCTGTGGTGACAAAGGGATTGCGTTTTTTTTTCCATTTCTTTTTTCTTTTTGTTTACAAGTTTTAACTTACTGTACCTTCCTGGTGAAAATTGAAGCTTTTATGACTATGTAGTGACTCTCTTTATCCTAAAAATAGTTTTTTCTTTTTGTCCTAAATCCCTATTTTAAAAAAATACTATATAGCTTCCCCAGCTTAAATTTGGTCATGAGCTTGCTTTCTATGTCTTTTTTCATCTTTTTGGTTTTAATGGTCTGTAACCTAACATTCTGGGTGTGTCTTTTATAAATAACATGTAGCTTGATTTTATATTTTTATCCATTTTGCCTATCTTTATGTTTTACTTGGTGACTTTAACATTTATTGTAATTATTGATATTGATGCTAAACATCCTATTTTGTATATTTTATTTGTTCCATTTTCTATGCTTTCCTTCCTTTTAGCTCTCCTCCTCTTTCTTTTGAGATTGTTTGATATTTTGATTATTTTTCCTTAATCTATTTCTTGTCTTGAAGTTAAAAACTTTATTTCCATTCTTCTGGTGGTTACTCTTTTGACCGCTTAGACTATGTATGGTCAAGCCACTCAAGATGGTTGTTCTCTTGCTCTCTGTACATCCCCTGCCCGACCAGTGCCTGCTTCACCTATACACTGCTCACATGACTGACCTTCCTACATACTTGCCCCAGACCCCAGCTAGTAATTGTTCTTATCCAAAGGGGTGGTGAGGGTTGTGCCCCTCTGGGTGGTTTCCCTGGTAACTAATGCACCAATCTGACCTCAATTCCCCCTATAACTGGCAATTTCCCCTCCTCCCGGGGGCAAGGCCTGCTGCCATGTCCTGCCTGCCATTTGCTGCACACAGTGGGCTGTTGCTCCAGAACTTTGCTTCAGACGTGTTAGCTCCCCCATCCATTAAACCATTAATGTCTCTGTCACTGACTCTGGGCTCTTTCTTTGGTCTTAAAATTGGGCAAGTACAGGCCTTGTAGGCCTGCAGGATGCAGCCCAACAGAATATAATACATATTACTTTATGTATCATAACTTTAATCAATATTTAAAACCCCCTCTTGAGAAAAGTTAAGAACTTTAGAGTATTTTAACTCCAACTAGCCTCTCCTGACTTACACACTATTGTTATTCTGTGTTTTGATTAGACTTAAAAAAATTAACCCACAAAATAGATGTTATTGTTATTTTATGTTGACAAAATTTGTTTAGATTTATCTACATTTTTACCAGTTGCATTCTTTACTATTCCTTCTTGCATCTCAGTTTTTCTTTTTAGCCTCATTTTCCCTCTCCCTAAAGTATATACTTTAAATGTTCCTTTAGAAAAGGAACATTGCTGGTAATAAACTCCCAGTTTTGTTTTCCTAAAAATACCTTTCTTTTTCTTGAAAGATAGTTTTGTAGTATTCACAATTCTTGGTTGACTGTTATCTCTTGGCACACTGAAGATACAATTCCACTGTCTTCTATCTTTTTTATGCTGTGGGGAAGTCTGCTGTTAGTCTGACTCTGGTACAATTGTGGTATTGTAAGTTGTCTGGGTTTTCTCTCTAGCTGCTTTCAAGTGTTTCTTTTCATCTTTGGTGTTATGAAGACTCACTATAATACGCCTAGGTGAAGATTTACTCTAATGTCCCCACCTTGGTTGTATGGGCGTACACTATGGTGGCATATGCTCTATCTGTGGATTCTTGCCTTTAATTAGTTCTGGATATCCTCAGCTGTTAAGTTTTGGGATATTGTTTCCCTTTCATTCTTTCTCTCTCACTGGGGCTCTAACTGGATATATTAGACCTTATCATTCTAGCCTCCATTATTCATAGCCTTGTTTTCATATTTTAAAGTCTTCCTATCTCTTTCTGCTAAAAACTGAAACTGAAAAATGAAATAAGCCAGGCACCAAAAGATACATACTATATGATTCCACTTATATGAGTAGTCAAATTTGTAGAGACAGAAAGTAGAATGGCGACTGCCAGAGGCTGGGGTATGGGAGAAATAGGGTTATTATTTAATAGGTACAGAGTGTCAGTTTGGCAAGGTGAAAACTATTCTGGAGATGAATGGTGGTGATGGATGTACAACAATGTGAATGTCAAAACCATTAAACGATATACTTAAAAATGGTTAAGATGGTAAATTTTATGTTGTGTGTATTTTACCACAATTAAAAAAAATTTTAATGTGGAAAAATATCCATTTTTAATTTATATAAATATTTTATAAATTATTACCATATTGGAGGCCCTATAGTGTGGTAGTTTATAGCATGAACTCTGGAGTCAGAATGCTCACGTTCAACTTACCAGTATGTAACCTCAGGCAAGGTACTAAATCTCATTTTGCTTAGTTTTCTTATCCTTGAAATGGGGATAAGAACAGTACCTATCTCATAGGTTTGTGTGAGTATTAAGTGAATCCATACATGACGAGGCACTTAGAATAGTGTACAGTACATAGAAATACTCTATTAGTTATTATTATAGATAATTCCAACACCTAAAGTCCTTGAGGTTCTAGTTTCTGTTTTTGAAAACAGAAAACCATGGTGGTTTTTATTTTTTAAAATGTTGGCCAATCTTTGTGAGCTCATGTTTGGAGGATCTCTGTCTGGGAATCCTGAGGATCTAAATTTGGGATGTTTTCCTCCTTCATTAGATCTGCAACCTGGGACCGCATTTACCCCATTCAGTTGTCTCTGTTCCATGTGGGAATCCCAGGTTCAGCTTCCCTACCTGCAGTGAGTCTGGGTTTAGTTCTGATCTCAGCCTTAATGTAGGTCTTTGTCCCAGGGCAACCCAAGATATTAGTTAGCTATTGCTCCCAGATATCCACCTTAGTTTCAGCTCACAATTCTGATGGTTTTGTTTTATTTTATTTTGATTTTTTTGGCCTTTGAGGATTTCTATTATTGATCTGGGCTCTCAGAAGAGCATCTGTTTCTATTCAGTAGAGTAGAAAGTTCCTTCTTAGCTTAGCAATGCCTTCTGAGACCTCAGGCTGGAAGCTGGCTTGTTCAGTGGGCTGTGTCTCTCCCACCTTGGGATGCTGGGAGCATCAGAGGCAGCTGAGCTGGGGCTGCTGACTTCCTGGGTGCCTGTGGGCTGTGGGGTCTCTTACAGGAATGGAGGTCCTTTGCTATACCAAGATATGCTGAGGGTGTGGGCAGAGATGTGTGTCCAAGGGGGCTCTTGCTCTGTGCCTGACTTCTGGGAGATCCCCAGGTGGACAGGGTGGGGCCGGGGGAAGCAGGTTCCAGCACTGCAGGGGGGCAGCAGCATCATGGATCAGACTAGAATAAAAGAGACCAACAAAGAAATCAGATGATTTGAAAATGGACAAAACGGTGGCATGCAAAATTAGTCTCCTTTACTGAAGCTTTTTGCTCATCTCTCTACCCTCTAGAGGCCTTTCCACCCACCTTCTTATCAGAATCAGTTCTCTGGAAAATGTCTGATAGTCTCATTCTGCCAGAGAACAGAGAATGGTAAAGCTGGGTGTGTTCCATACTCTTTGTATTTAATGGGAATCTCTGATCTAAGGAATTTCATAATGGTGGCATCTCAGGTTGTCACTTGCTGGGAAAGAAGATTGTTGGGGATGTAAGGGGGTATCTCAGAGGCATTAAGCCTCTAAGGATGGTTTGGTACCCTCAGAGGAGAGGAAGGGAGGGAGGGCACAACAGGTAGAGCAAACACGCTCACCTTCCGGACATTGTAGATCCAGTCGAGATAGGCTGTGGTCTTGGTGTACACTCCCGGGGTACTCGGCTCCCCACAGCCATGGCCCCAGCTCACGATGCCCACTACTTGCCACCGTTCAGAGCGATACATCAGAGGCCCACCGCTGTCACCCTGTGGGAAGCCAGAGCAGGGGTTACTGGAGAGGGCAGGCAGGGCGGGGGTGGAGGGGTGGGCTTCTCCTTCCTCCCCTCTCTGCATTGGCCCATCGGTTTCATGCTCTCCAGCACGCTCTGCTGTTCCACCCACCCCTTGTGCCCATGTTGTTCTTGCATCCTGCAATGCCCTTCCCTTTGGGGCAAAAGTGTTCTGTGGTCAAGTAAGTTATGGGTGTGCTCTTAGCCCTCTCTCAGAGATCCACAACTTGGGTTCTAAGGGGTTCTATGGTAAGGGAGACTGATTATCTTTTTTTTTTTTAAACCTCTGTCGGGTTTTTTTTTAAATTTATTTTTTAATTAATTAATTAAGTTTTGGCTGTGTTGGGTCTTTGTTACTGCGTGCGGGCTTTCTCTAGTTGCAGCGAGCGGGGGCTACTCTTCGTTGTGGTGTGTGGGCTTCTCATTGCGGAGCACGGGCTCTAGGTGTGTGGGCTTCAGTAGTTGTGGCGCATGGGCTTAGTTGCTCTGTGGCATGTGGGATCTTCCCGGACCAGCGCTCGAACCCGTGTCCCCTGCATTGGCAGGCAGATTCTTAACCACTGAGCCACCAGGGAAGCCCTGTGATTATCTTTGTTTAACCTAGCAGTTCCCAGATTTATTGGACCACTTCAGGACCTATTTTGTGTCAGCCACTGTTCTAGACAATTGGGATTCAATCAATGAAAAGAAGATCCCTGCCCTAAGGAACTTGGAATCACATGGAGAAACAGAGAGAGAGAGAGAGAGAGAGAGAGGAGAGAGAAAGAGAGACAGAGAGACAGAGAGAGAGAGGGTGAGGGGGAAATAAGCAAACAACAAAACAGACAAGGAAATGTCAGATAGTGAAAAGTGCACTTATTTGGGTGTCCTTCTTACCAGCTCTTACAGCCCCTGGGGCTTCTTCCCTCAGAACCCGATAGCTCTGTAACTGAACTGCCTGTTTATTCACCACCCCCCACCACTGTGAGCTCCCTGAGGGAAGACAATGTCCCCAAAGTTCAGCATTTACCTGACATTAAGTCATCAAGAGACTAAGAGATGCCTCTCGAGTGAAGGAATTTAATGACTGAGAATGGGGGTGGGAGTAGGGTTTAGGGTTTTAATGAAAATGGTCCAGAAAATCCTCTGGGTGGGTATGTGAGAATATATTCAGGGATTGGCCAGTGGGATGGGCTGAGGGGACGGCGCACCAGGGCTCATGCAGCATAAGATGGGTTTTCTCTAATGTAGTTCAGCAGCTTGAGGACAGCTGTAGAGAAAACAGACCTGGGGTTCCTGCCCTCTAGGGGCTCATACTCTTTTAAATGATGGGAAGTAAGAGCGGGTGGGGAGGGCTTCCCTGGTGGCGCAGTGGTTAAGAATCCGCCTGCTCATGCAGGGGACACGAGTTCGAGCCCTGGTCGTGGAAGATCCCACATGCCGCAGAGCAGCTAAGCCCGTGCGCCACAACTACTGAGCCTGCACTCTAGAGCCCGTGAGCCACGACTACTGAGCCCAGATGCCACAACTACTGAAGCACGTGCGCCTAGAGCCCGTTCTCTGCAACAAGAGAAGCCACGACGGTGAGAAGTTCGCGCACTGTCTCCGCAACTAGAGAAAGCCCGCGCACAGCAATGAAGACCCAACATAACCAAAAAAAAAAAAAAAAGCGG